ATAGAACAAAACAAACCCAAAAACATGAGAAAAACAATCAAGTTGGATCATAACCCTACCAAAGAATCTCCGACGAGGCTAGTCCAACTTATGAGAAGCAATCTGCCATTACCAATTAAACCATAATCTTCTAACAGATCGAGAAGAAACCAATCATCTACAACCGGCCATGATTGTTCTTCATGGAGATGACACCATGGGCGTTAGAGATCGGGAAAACGGGTCCATCCAGGGTTCCCCTTATGCGTATTGTATGAGCAAAATGAAGGCCCCAAATATCCGAAAATATTCTAAGTGTTTGGCTAACTTACAATTCAAAGGAATGGAGGAGAATGTATTATATTCCACTTGATAAAACATTACAATTGGTGGCCTTATATAGGCATTACAAGAGGAGTAAAATAATCCCTAGGAAATACAATTTACCTTTCCAAGAAGACCTTTCATCTCTCCAATAAAAGTAGGGAAAGATAATTTATGTTCCCTAGGAAGTAAACTAATTAAGATTAATTAATTAATCCCAACAAATTCCTCCCCTAATCTTAATTCTCTTCGGTCTCTCATTCTGAGCCTTTTGCTTGTAACCTTTTGCAACAAGTCGAGCTTTGTATCGCTCGACCATATCTTCAGCATTGCATTTCTTCTTATACACCCATTTGACTCTGATCGGCTTATGACCTCTCGGGAGATTGGTAAGTTCCCAGGTCTGATTCTTCTCAATCGCTTTTATTTTTTCGTTCATGGCATCTCTCCATTTTTCATCGTGCTTGGCTTCTACAAAAGTAATATCCTCCCCATCGGCTAGAAGACATACCATGTGAACCTCTGGAGCTGCTTCATATATGTCCTGTATGTTTCTGTACCTTTGCTAGCTCGTCCCTTCTTCTTCTTCCTCGTCCCCCGGGGTCGTCATAGATCCCGCCCCGATTGGTTCTAGTGTCATCCCGAGCGGGATTGGAATTGGGGTCCCGCCCGGGGTCTCTTCGTCATTTGAGGTCCCGTCCGGGACGTCCTCGTTATTTGAGGTCCCGTCCGGGACGTACTCCTTCTCTGTGTTCCAATCCCAGCTTCCTTTTTCATTTATCTCTACATCTCTGCTCTTTGTGATCTTTTTCTCCTCGGGATCATATAGTCTGTATTCCTTTGTCTTCTCATCATAGCCAATGAAGACAAGCTTCTTGCTTTTGTCTTCCAATTTTGTCCGTCTCTGATCGGGCACATGTGCGTAAGAGATACTCCCAAACACCCTCAAGTGTGACACGGTCGGCTTTTGACCACTCCATGCTTCTTGAGGTGTTAGATTTTCAAGATTTGAGTGCGGACACCTGTTCTGTACATACACCGCACATCGTACCGCCTCGGCCCAAAATTGCTTTGGCATATTTTTGCTCTTGAGCATGGATCTTACCATGTCCATAATGCTCCGGTTTTTTCGCTCGGCCACCTCGTTCTGTTGAGGCGAGTACGGGGCGGTAAGGAATCTTCTAATTCCTTCCTCTTCACAAAACTTTGTAAAAGAGTCTGAAATGTATTCTCCCCACCGGTCTGACCTCAACGCTTTCACCTTCAGCCCGATTGTCTTCTCCACCTCGGCTTTGAAATTTTTGAATGTTTTAAAGGCCTCCGATTTTTCTTTTAGAAAATATACCCAAGTCTTCCTGGTGTAGTCATCAATAAAGGTGATAAAGTACCTTCACCCACTGAAAGATGATGGCGTGATCGGCCCACAAATGTCCGTATGGACTGTCTCCAATGCTCCCTTGGCTCGGTACTTGGCAGTCTTCTGAAAGCTCGTCCGGGTGTGTTTCCCAAGTACGCAGCTTTCACAGAATTGCTTTGGAAAATCCATCTCGGGTAGTCCATGCACCAAGCCCTTTTTGCTCAGCTCGGCTAATCCTCCAAAGTTCAAATGTCCGAAACGTAGGTGCCATAATAGTGACTTGTCCGTCAGGTCGACTTTCAAGCACTTATGGTTTACGCTTCTCAAGTCCAACTTGTACATTCTATTCTTGGCCATCTCTACCCGGGCGACGGTCCGGCCTCGTCTATTCTTCAAGTGTAGGTATCGACCACTTAGGTCGGCTGAATACCCTTTCTCCATAAGCTGTCCCATGCTTATGATATTTGTCTTCATGCTCGGAACATAGAGTACGTTTTCAATCGTCCCCTCTTGTCCATTCTTTTGCAGAAATTTAACCTTTCCTCGGCCTTTGATAACTACTTTTGATGTATCTCCAAAAGATACATTTCCTCCCTCAGCCTCCTTCAACTCAGTGAATAAATGTTTATAACCACTCATGTGGTTGCTCGCCCCGGTATCCAAGTACCACGTAGCGTCGTCTGTTAAGCTTCCTTCTTTGTGTGCTAGTAAGAGCACTCCTTCCTCATCTCCATCATCATCCTCATGCTCAGCAACATTTAGATTCTCCTCCGGTTTTGGTTTCGACCAACAGTCTCTTGCGAAATGTCCCCGTTTCCCGCAATTGTAGCATTCCCCATCGGGTCTGCCTCCCCGACCGCCTCGGGCAGCTCCTCTTCCTCGACCTCTCCAGGTCGGGCGATGTTGGTCCTCCCGGTTCTGGTGGGTATTCTCCTCTCGGTTGTAGTCTCCTCTTCCTTGGCCCCGACCACGGAAGTGACCTCGGCCTCGGCCTCTCGGTTGATGGGCATACATTGCCTTCTCCTCTACCACCATAGTTCGTAATGCCTCTTCAAGCGATTCTAGCCGCTTCATCTTTCTTTGTTCATGTGCCTCCAACGACCCCGACAGGTCGTCAATGGTAAGCGTCTCAATATTTCTAGCTTCTTCGATTGCGCATACCACGTTCTCGAATTTGTCCGTAAGTGTTCGTAGAATTTTTTCTACTATCCGACTCTCACTTACGGTTTCACCATTTCTCTTCATATGGTTTGCTATGGTCATCACCCGATTAATGTACTCGGTGACCTTCTCGTTCTCTTTCATCCGCATAGTCTCCAACTCTCCTCGTAGAATTTGCAACCTCACTTGCTTTACTCTTTCCCCTCCTTTGAATACTTTTTCGATGATGTCCCAAGCTTCTTTTGAAGTTTCGGCATCGGCTATCTTCTCGTGGATGGTGTCATCCACTGCTTGAAGCAACCAAAACAATGCCGTTTGGTCCTTCTTTTGTGCTCCTTCGAGTTCCACTTGTTGGGCAACCGTCAAGACGGTTCCTTCCTCCGGTGTTGTGTAGCCATTATCGACAACATCCCATACTCCTTGTGACTTCAACAGTGCTCTCATTTGAGCATTCCATCGGTCGAAGTTTGCTTTCTTCAATTGAGGTAGTTGGCCGAACATGGTGGCTGCCATCTTCTTCTTCAACAGTGGCTCTGATACCAATTTGAAGGCCCCAAATATCCGAAAATATTCTAAGTGTTTGGCTAACTTACAATTCAAAGGAATGGAGGAGAATGTATTATATTCCACTTGATAAAACATTACAATTGGTGGCCTTATATAGGCATTACAAGAGGAGTAAAATAATCCCTAGGAAATACAATTTACCTTTCCAAGAAGACCTTTCATCTCTCCAATAAAAGTAGGGAAAGATAATTTATGTTCCCTAGAAAGTAAACTAATTAAGATTAATTAATTAATCCCAACACAAACTAGTCATGTAAAAGTGTTGCTCCCTCTTCTCATAATTTCCTCCTCATTTTCTTTTTTGGGTGTCTCGGAAATTTCTCCTTCATTTTCTACCATTTTAGGTTTCTATTAGAATAATTTGTGTATTTTTTTTCAAAGCTTCCTAACCTATTACTCTCTCCGTCCTTTAAAACTTTGTCATCTTTCCTTTTTGGAACGTCTCAAAAAACTTTGTCACTTTCCCTTTTAATCAATTATTTTGTGGTTTCTGTTATTTCTCTCTCCTCTGCACAAATCTCAACCACACAGTTTTTACTTTATTATTCTTCGTGCCGGTCAACTTTGGCAATGTTTTAAGGGACGGAGGTAGTATGATATTTATTCTATATTAAAACAAATTAAGATGTCATTCAACTCATCCACCTTGACTTTATTGAACGTGTCAATTCAATATTAGAAGCTATTTAATTTTAAGACAATGTAGTACGTATTTAACAACTTAAATAAGTCATTGTAACATTAATACCAAAGCACTTGCGGATTACCAACCCCGTTGACACCGCCAGGTTTAACTCAGTCAAGTGGCGTCGCCGACAATGAGCCATTGTTTCCTCTGCTTTGAGTAAATGCAGCGACCAAACTTCAAAAACAATTCATCCCAACTCCAAAAGCGAGACCCAATGATCAGCTTAATTGTATTTGTGATCCACGTTGACCTATTCCTGATTGCGATAGACCTGGATTATCAAATGATCATAGTTCAATTTGATCATCCCAATAAACTGTGTTGTCGATTCTAGGCTCATCCCAAATAAGGTGCATTATCCTTTTTAGTTTGAGATAATCATTAACAGCGCCATATCCGCTAGCTAGTAAATCATTGTTATGACTAAACATGTCATCATACTCGTACTATTAGCCTATGTTGCACGAAACGTGGAAAGTATATAGAAATATTAAATGAGAAACATCATCCAAAAAATGTGGACATGTTTACTAATATTAATATTTTCTGTTTTTCCAGAAAACTGGAAAAGTAGAGAAAGAAAAATTGGAAAACATGTAACCTGTTTATTCTACAAAATTGAAAAACAGACACATGTTTTTGATTTTCTTCTTAAGTTGGAGAAGTCACTTTTAGGTTTTTGCAAAATGGAAATACGCAGCTCTACGATGCGTCGTCATGTGCTTGTTTCGAGCTTGAGTATTTGGTTGGGGTTGCATTTTTTTAAGGAGAAAATAATTAAAATACCCTAACCTTTGGGCATGTGTGATATCCCTAACCTCAACTTGTTTGTGTTAGTTAAATACCCCCTCCTTTAACTAATATGAGAAAAGAATACCCTAGCCTAATTAAAAGTATCTATTTTGAATTTAAAATGACTTTATGCAATATCTAGCTGGCATATACACCTCCACGTTGGCTTATACTTATATCCCGATTCATCTCCTTCCCTGTATTCGTCTCTCACATCGTAGAAAAAAGCCCTAGTTTCAGGGCCATGCCATGAAAGAAGCAGAGAGCGTGAAGAAGAAGATGATGAACGACCATTACTCGGGATGAAGAAGCATCTCTCTCAGTGGAAGCTCGTCGCTAGGAAGAGAAGCATTAGGGATTTCAAGTGAGAATGTAAAGTATTGCTATCACAATATTCCTGCTAATCTTGAAATTACATCAAAGGAAGGAAAGAACCATAGTCGACGATTTCACAGATGCTCTCAGTGGAAGGTATGAGTCAAGAGTGCTTTATTTTTTGGGAATTAAGATTTGGAAAAGCATTTTCATTGTTTTGATGTTGGCTTTTATATTGTATGGGCGATAGAAGTAATTAATTGGTTGAAGAGGAAAAATGATCAACTTATTGAGCAATGCAAGCAATTACAATCTGAAAGTGAAAGAGGGCTGTCACATTTGGTAGATGATATGGGAACAGGGAGATTACTTGATGAGTGCTCGAGTTATATGTTCCCGACAAGGCAAGAAGAGAAAGAAATACTTCACATGAAAGTGAAAAAACTAAAAGTGAATAAGAAAGATATTAGGAAGAAATTGTTTATGGTAGAAGCAGAGTTGGAGAACATGAAAAACACTCATGTATCAAAAGCAGAGTTTGAAAGAGTAATAGTGAAACTTGTAATAGTTGGATTTGTTTTAGTTTGTGTAAGTGTATCAATTGCCTTAATTGTTGTGAGAAAAAATGTAAGGTAAGATTAGAATGTGTAGTGGCTAGAATGTGTGTCAGGTATGGTACATGTGATTCCGACCCGTTAAGGACCCAGACCCGCTAAGGACCCAGACACACTGAAACATATATAAAGTGATTAGTTATAACACCTTAAATAAAATAGAAACTAATATACATATATACATAATAATACATAAAGTTATTAGTTGTGAATTTGTGATTATTCAATAAAAATATACACATTAATACATAAATACTACGGAGTTTATAAGTGATACTGATCAAGATAGTAAGATACCCTACAACTAATATTTATTACTATTATTATTAATTTTTTATATCATTATCATATATAATACTACATATGATTTTATACTCTTAGTAGTCCAAGATACCTTTTTATGACTTAATTTCTAGTTTATTCTACGAGTTTTTTATGCGAGAGAAAGCGGCACAAAGTGTGGAGGTATATGCCTGTACAAGAACCGATACTTTATTAGATAAAAGTACTAATTTTCTATGAGAGACATTGATTTTTTTTTGAAAAGTGAAAATATATTTTGTTTTTAAATTTGTACACTTTGTTGTAAATTTCACATACATGTCTTGCTATTTTCACAAAGTTTATAATGGTGTGAGTATCATACTTGGTGGGCGGGTCTACCCGACCCGATTCCGAGACCCGTTGGGTCTGGGTCCGGGTCCAAATTTTCAGACCCGCCGGGTAAACGGGTCGGGTCCGGGTCATTATTAACTTAGCGGGTCCGGATCTGGAACACTACGTTCCGACCCGGACCCGCCCCATTGACAGGCCTATGTGTGTGATTCCATTAGCTGTCATTCTTATGAAATGTACAATCAAACGAAGCCATATTAGTAATAAGAAATGTATTTGTAGTGCAATGTGTTTTTGGGAGAAGCTTAACTTTGTGATCTTGTTGGTATTTGTAGTAACATGAAACAAGTTTGTTGCTCCAATTGAGCATGACCTTGCTGCTAATTATTTAACATGAGTCTGCAGGTGCCACTATAATTATTAGCTCTTTGTTTTCTTTTAATTGTTTGTGATGGGAAATTGGGAATAGCTTGGAGATACACTATCCGGACCTATGATATAAAGTTATAAACTACTCCTAGTCTCCTACTACCTATAGAGTATGAACCGTCATCTCAAATTTGGAAAATAAAAATAGGTGAACACCTGCTGCTGTTTTTTTGAACCCAAAATCAGCCTCCCAGAGCTGCTATTTTATGAAGTGGAGCCTAAATGCTGCTATTGTTTTGGCCATATAAGAAAAACCACCATTCCAGAGATGCTATTTTATGAACTGGAGCCTAAATGCTGCTACAGTTTTTTCCATATAACCAAAACCAGCCTCCCAGAGCTGCTATTTTATGAACTGGAGCCTAAATGTTGCTATAGTTTTTGCCATATAAGCAAAACCAGCCTCCAAGAGCTGCTATGTATTAAAATGAATGAGCTGCTGTGTATTAGCTTCAGTATGCTCCTATAAATTAACCCAAGGGTAAACACCAGTGACTAGCAAAACAGAAATACATAACTGTGACTGTAAATATGTTGCTACCATAACAAAGAAGATAAGTGAAATATCCCACAAATTTGAATCACATAATTGTGAAGGTTTTTACATAGCAAAACAAAGAGCGAAACATGGCCTTTAGCATGATCCAAAAATGAGCTTTACATAGCTGCACATAACACAACCTGTACAAGTTCCATTAAGCTTACAAAGAGGACCTTAACTTTAGACAAAAAAAAGACCATAACTACATAGCAGCCTTCATACAGCAAAAATCCCAACTTATGACATCAAAATCACAATTGTAGCTAGATAGTTCAGATGCATCAAACCCTGCAACATCATGTCTGAGATGGCTGAGAAGTTGTTGGAGCAGAAGATGTTTGGGACATCACATTACCACCCCCTTGTCCTGGCTGAAATAATTAGTATGAGCATTGCATTAGTTAATTTCATAGAGTTGTTGTAATACTTTAAAAGTGTGTGCCACTTACGTTTAGGTTAACTCTTGCATCATCACCATAGTAAACTCCCCATCTGTTGGGTATTGTTTGTCTTGAAGCACTAGAAGAAGCACTCTTTAGTGGCCTTCCTCTTGGTCTTTTAGGTTGGGTAGGATCAACACACGGAGCTTGAGTTTTTTTTTTTGCGGTCCACCATCCTTCCTTGGTCTTCCTCTTGCTTTTGCCTAAGATGTAAACATAAACAAGTATACATACAAGGAAATACTCAAAAAAGTACTAATAACTACTAATAGTGACTGAACTTATACACTCACTAAGTATAAGGTCACACTAAAACAGACTTATGCAAAACATAAACAAGTATACATACACGGAAATACTCAAAAAAGTATTAATAAGGTCACAGTAAAACAGTTTATAATCTACCAGCTTATAAATAAGAACTACCAGCTTATAAACTACTCACTAGACTTATAACTAATACATAAAGACCATACAATTATAACTTATAACAATCACTGTTCTAAAAATCGTTCTAGGCGTCCGATTAGTCCTCGCCTAGGCGCTAGGCGGTGGCCGAGCGCCCCGATTTTTGTCTAGGCACCCCGACTAATTGGTTTGGCACCTAAGTGAATGAGTCATCTGCCTAGGGCGCTTAGTTGCCCGCCCAGAGCGCTTAGTCATCCGACTAATTTTTTTACTTTTAATTTTTTTAAGTAAGAGATATATGTACAAGTAACTTTAACAACAAATATGAAGAAAGATTTTTTTCCCGTATTTTTAGGAGGGGTGAGCCAGGCCTGAGAAATAGTGCAACACTCAGGCCACTCTTAGAAGCCCGGATAGCAAGCTGCCTTCATGAACTTTCCTCCTTAAAAATTGAGTTAATATCGTGTGGACTAATAGCCCACTTATCAATTATTAAACTGATAAGAACAGATACTACACTTGGTCATAGCCAAAAGGCCGAGAAAGGTATAATATGCAGAAAGATACTTGTACATTAAGAATAAAAATTATATATATGTATGCATATATATTTAATATTTATAAAATGATATAATTATGTGATTAGTTATCATATATTATTGCATGTGATAATTCTATCAATCATGCATATTAATGTGTGTGTGTATGTTTTTCACACACACAAACACGATAATGTCGTTATACTATGTATTACTTATCATATTTGTGCCAAAGTATTTATAAAAATACAATTTATGTATCTTCGACTAGTCCCCGCCTAGACGCCCGCCTAGCCGCCTAGGCGCTGGGCTTCCGCCCGACTAGCGCCTAGCGCCTTTTAGAATATTGATAACAATAAATGACAACCACAAACTTACAGGAGTGTTTTGGGATTCAGTGTGGGATATGTTTCCCTTTTGAGGGCACTTTCTTTTATTGTGGTCATTTCCTTTGCATGTACTACAAGTCATTCGCAGTCCGTGTTTACTTAAGCTACCTTTCTTTTCAAATCTCTCGTGTGCTTCCTTTCTTCTATTTTTTAGGTCTTCCTGCACTTATCTTTATTGGTGGAGGGTTTAAAGCATAGTCTATCTTTTCCCAATGTCTCTCACCATTAATTGGTTTGACTGACATACTATAGCTCTGGAGGTATTTAACCTTCTTAAACCAGTCCACAAAGTTTTCAGGAGGAACCCTTAACCAATTACAACAAGATATGACATGGACACATGGTATGCCAGTTAGATCCCACTTCCTACATGTACATGTCTTATCATTTAGATTGACACTGAACATATCCAAACGATGCATGACTTGAAACTCAAACTCACTAGCAGGAAAACAAACACATTTCCTAGCTTATTCTTTTTCAGCCTCTAAGCATTTCCTTACTCTTGGACAGATTTCATCATGCCTACAGACCATAGAAGATCTATTCACATGCACCCTTTGCATAAAACTTAATCTTATATCCTCAAGCATTTGAATAAGAGGTTTCGATCTTGCTTCAATAATATATCCATTGAAAGTCTCAGCCATATTACTGACAATGACATCACTTTTACTTAGTGTTTTCATGTAGGACCTTGAGAAGGTGGTTGGATTCTGGGAAATAAAATCTTCAACAGCTTTGGTACTAACAACTTTCATTTCTTCAAGTGCAGTATCAAAGTCAGCTCTAGCATATACTCTGACAGCCTTCCAGTACAAACATCTAAGTTGCCCCCCCTTGTGTTTCTTCATCCAGTTTGCATAAATATGCCTAGCACCGTTCCTATGTTCTGCAGCAGGAAAATGCTCTGTAACAGCTTACACAACTCCTTCTGCTTATCTGAACAAATGGTGGAGTTCTCATTACCAAAGCCAGGCAAATCAGTTTTTAGAACACCTAAAAACCAACTCCAAGAATCATTATTTTCAGCCTCCACCCCTGCCCAAGCAACAGGGTACATTTGATTGTTCTCATCTCTTCCAACAGCACACAACAACATTCCACCTAAAAATGTCTTTAAGAAGCACCCGTCTACACATAGCACAGATCTGCATCCACTTATAAACCCATCTCTCAATGGATGGCGGCGGGTGCCATTGGGAGGGTGGGGAGGGACATTGATGAGATGGCGGCGGTCGGAGTATTTTTCCGATGGGTGGGCGTAACTGGAAAATAAGGTGTCACTGGAAACTGAGTTTAGTGTAATTCGGTAAACTTAATTAATGCTTATTAGTCATATTTTAAAATATTTAAAGAAAATGTCACTTTTTGTTCACTATTCATTTTTTAGTAATATTCAGGTTAAAACTTCATTAGTAATACCTATTTTTTACGGATTAGTTCATGCCTATCACTAGATCCCAAAAATAGAAGCATTTGCCAAAGCATAAAATACCTCTTTCTCCTGCGCTTTTGACCATTTCGGATTGGGAAATTTCAACAAGTAGGAGCAAAACGTACGAATTTTCCAAAACTAAGACCGAAGTTTAGCGTAAGACTCAACTACACCTGCATTGACCACAATACCCTTACTTTTAGAAAATAACAGACATTAAATAGACAATAAATAGACAATAAGTAGACAATAAACAAACAATGAAGAAAATTGATAAATGTCTTGCAGGGATGTTATCCAAATCAATTCACGATGCTTTGCTTTCTAGATACTTCGCCGCCCAAAGTCTCTGTTTCTTCCTTCGCCGTCCAAATCGATCACTTCATCCATGTCTACGCCTTCTTCCTTTTTGGAATTCATCAGATTTGTAGTTGAATTGCTAGAGGAAGCTCATCAGATTTCTAGGTGGTCTTGCCGGAGGATATGGCATCGTCGCCATTCGCACCGGAGGACACGACGGCGGAGGCGGTCTCACCGACGGACACGACGGCGGAGGAAGTAGCGCCGTGGGATGTAGAGGCGTAGCAGTGTCACTGGCCTTCGCACAAGGAGAACGAAGGAGAGGGTTGCGGTGATGTTAACGGGAAGGGTAAAAATGGAAGACAAAAATAAAGTTTCCTAAAACGGTGCTAAATAGATCCTACGCATGGGAAAAACATAGCTTAATCCTACTTTTGTAAAGTTCCTTTGATTTGATCCTATAGAGAGCAATTTTCTCTT